AATTATGGTCTATCAGTTTAATAAATATCAGAATGGTACCTTAATGTGGAATACTTGCCTAATACTCTTGTAGACATGCGAAAGCAATAATTTCCTTTTTCTAAAGGATAAATTTACTAATATCCTCATGACCTTTAGGGTCACAGGATAACAGCCCATAGTTGACAATATTCAGTTGCTATTTAGACTACAAGAGGGACAGATTTGGCCCAGCAAATGAGCAAATGACATGCATCCTAAATTTTTGGAAAATAAAAGATATCACCCAGGTTAATTTCTCCATGTGGAATCAATTGTGATCAATAAGTGAGTTAAATGGCATACGTGATACACACTTGAGCTATCATGTCTCTTTTGATTCATGACTGACAAGGCAGAAAATTTTCCTTCAGTAGGCTTCCATTTTTTTCTGCAGTAGACTGGTTGCCAACCAAGGCTATAGAACCCAGTTTATCTTGCTATTCAACTCATAGCTGGGAGGAGAAGAGATAGCTTCATACCATTTCCAAGGGTAATGCATGTAAGTGAATGCAATGAACTTGACTAGAATTCAAACTTGGCTCTTTCTCATTCTGAGCTGATATCCATTACACCACAACACACATTCAGTTGTGATAAATATAGATATAGATATATTTGTGTATGATAAATTCTATTATGTGACTGTATGTAAAATGTTTTCAGGCACAATTCATTTTTGGAATTAATTTCTTTGAGCTTTTCTAGTTCTACCTTCCATCAGGCTAAAATGTTAGTATATCATGGATATATTAATGCCTAAAGTGGGCCTTGGAGAGTAGAGAAAACTAAAATATGTCTCTCTTTCCAAGCACTCCATTATTGTAATAAACTTATATTTAGTAAATATCAATGATTTAGAAATAGATCAAATTAATGAGAGCACTTTATGCTGAAATACGGAAAATGTTAAAATATTGATCAGTTCAAAAAATAAAATTGTATTTCAATAGTGCTCTATACTAAAATACTAGAATAGATATTTGAATGGAAATATAGAACATACTTGCTAAAACCTTCTGTATTTCAGCAGAAAATGCTGTCATAATTAAATATAATTGTTTGTCATAAGACATCCAAGATAAACAAATTAGTGGGTCATGTAAATCAGTCATGAAGTATTTTTATCTTTTTTTTTTCTTTAGATTTCAAAAGAAAATTAATTGTAGGTTTTATGTAAATGATTCTTTCATCCAAAATTCAGTACTTTGCTTTTTCCACTGATCCCAATCTGCAATTGCAACTGAATCAAAACTGATGCCTTTGTGATCCCCAATTCAGTATCCTAGCCCCTGAGCTTTACTTTTGTGTCCTCAAGTCAAACTCAATTAAGGCCTGAACTTCACAAAAGTTTTTTTTTATTTTTACAATTATAAGGAAGGAGTTGATTCCAGAAAAAATGATTCTGACCTTTGAAGTGTCGTTTTCTCAGTAATTGCTAAAATGTAGTTTCTTTTCTTCTTTTTTTTATTCCTTCCTTATTTAAAGTAACTAAAATGTCTACTGTCCAGTATTCAAGGAAATGTAAACCTTTTTGCAGAGGAATGCAAACCATTAATGACAATTTTATACCAGCAATTAGTGGGAATGAATGAATTAGCTTGTTATATAGTAATTAAATTAAGAGAAATATCAGAGGCATTTCTCAATGCAAGATTACTTAAGAGAGAAAGAGAAAGGCTCTGAAAATTAGCACATATGAACCATAAAAGCTGAATACTCTAAAATGCAACATTAGAATGTTTGCATAAAATTGTGCACATATCATCAATGCATTGGTAAAACACTGACCCAGAATTATACACAAATAATTATTTGGAAATTAAAGATTAATTAAAATTAGAATGCATTCCTTTTGCTTACATACCACTATGTTGAACAGCCATTATAATGTGCCTGTCTAACAAACCAGTCATGATGTATTCATTGAACATTATCTGCTCTATAAATGTAGTCTTATGGTAAACATGGTATAAATTAATAAACATCTACTTGATACTATCTTTTTTACCTATAAAATTAAATTCAAAGATGATCCTTACAAAAAAATCAAAATGGTGTACATAGTCATACATAAGAAAATACTTTAAGACCAAACTTTTAAGCAAGAAATTGTGGTCAGCCAATACACAAATGATAGATTCAATAGAAACTCTTGATTGAAATCTGCACATTATTGGCTAAGATTAATAATCAAGATCAAATATTAAAATATCAGTTCAAAAAATAAAATTATATTTCAATAGTGCTCTATCCTAAAAGACTTGAATAAATATTTGAATTGAAATATAGAACATTCTTGCTAAAAACTTTACATATTTCAGCATAAAGAGCTGTCATAATAAATAATAAATATTTTGCATTAACCCTCAATTTATAGAATGCAAGAGGATTTTAAGTGAAATTTTCCATCAATCTGTTTACAAATAAACCTAGGATATTTGTTGTTCTCTTATCATGGAATACTGACGTTGATCTATACATCACAAATTAATCTTTTTCTTGATCAAAAATCAGAATACAATTGCCGCATGAAATTGATTTCTCTCACTTTCACTTGTCCCATAACCCACTAGGGTTGTCAGGGTGCTGTATTTTTGCTTGCTCAACAAGAAGCCTCCACTTGCTCCAGTCATTGGTTAGTGACTGGGTTTGGGCAAACTTTCGCCAGTCCATTCAACCATCACTTTCTTTCACATCCTCTTCTCCTTCCTCCTTGTACTATTCCTTGTAGTCTTGGAGTCTTCACAATCTTCCTCTTCTTTATGGTGGTCAACATGTCTTTATAGCCATTTATCTGCTGATTCACTCTTCTGTGCACTTTTTCATTCATTATTCAATTGGTGTAGGAAATACCAAGACAACATCTTATCTCTGCAGCTTGGATCTGCCTTTGAAGTCCTGCTGTTAGAGTCCATATCTTACATACATATAGGAGAACAACAAGACAAAGGCATGCAACAATATCAACTTATTTTTGAGGGTGAGCTTTTTATCTCTCCATATCAGTTTCAACCATGCCATCATGGCTGTTGTCAACACAATTCTCTCAGTAACTTCTGGTTTAGATCAATCTTGGCTAATGATTGCACCAAAATATTTGTAACTTTGATCTTGAGCAATATCTTGATACTATATTTTGATCTTAAGCAATCTTATTTAACAAAAGGAAGCATTCTTTACACCACTAGAAAGATAAGAAAGGTCCATATTTTTGGCTACATGAGTACACTTGTCAAAAATTATTTTTTTTGCTGAGCAAATTTCAGCTCCCTGTAGTTTGTGGGAAGGGATAAAAGTAATAAAATAATTTACTGTAACCTGAACTTTGCCAGTCTGCATGCAAAGCTTGATCAAGGAGTAGTGGGGGTCAGTTGAAGGTGAAAGAAAGAAAAAACAAAAGTGTTTTTCTACTACAATAAATTGTTTTGATAAATGTGATTTTTTAACCAATGGCTACTCATGCTGGTTGAAATCTGAAATTCTTGTTGACTGCCAAAATTTTTTGGGTATATTGAAGCCAACCTTTGGTTAAAAAGTCCCTGCAATTCAAACATCAGGAGAGTTGGAAACACTATGCCAGCAGGTGATGCTGGGGAGTTATACATGACCGCTGAGGATTGTTATATGATGCCTTCTAAAATTATCTGAAACTCAGTCTGAGCATGGACTCAAAGGATGTGGCAGCAATACCTCTCCTTAATGAAGTCTTGGCAACCAAATTGTCATTTTCACAACAGAATTAAGTCTCATTTTCACCCTGGCTATTGAACAAAACTAGTTGTTTCCACAACAAAGAATAAGTACTGTTCTAAAAACAACACTCTATGTTGATGACTCTGAAGTAAGAAGGCACAAATTTGATTCTGTCACAAACTTTGACAATTCACATCAAATCACAAGAACTATTAAGAACATACACATTTCATACCTTCAAGGTAAATCTACCCTTTTAACTGGGTTCAAACTCACTGAAACCCTTTTATTGAACATTTTCTTGTAATTTGCATTGTTTTGTATACACTGACATTTTTCTTTTTTCAATTTTATGTTATTTGATTGATTTGATTGTAAACTTGATGATCTTTTTTCTACAAATACCAGTGAGCCCTATTTTAGAAAAATAAGTTACTTGTCCAGGAATTCATTATCCACTTTTCTGGGCACAAAAACCAACAAATTTGGGTATCTGAAATATTTATTAACATTTTCTTTTATTTTAATAAAATTGTCTTGGTTTTATATCTAACTGAGTATCTTGTGTCATTTTTTATGGTGTGCTTGTTGTCACTTGATCTCCATTCTTCCCAATCCCTTTTAACTGAACCCCCACAAAATATATATAATAGTTTTTTCCCCTATTTTTCCATACATTCTTAATAAAATCAACTCAAAATAATAAAAAAAAAAAAGTAGCAATAATAATACAATGTGAAACAAGCAATCATAAGATAAACAGAAATAAAATTAAAGAAATGACTTCTGAAAAAGTAACCAATGGATTATTAAAGAGTAAAATAAAAATGGCACAACGAATTGGACTGGATGGTGGAGTGGAATAGCTACCGATTTGTGCTTTGTGTGAACTATACAGACGTTTATGGTCAGTGAAGTTGAGATGCTATCTATGAAAGTCACTGCATCTGAGTTCAAACCTTGCCCATTCTTTATTTTCCTATTTCATGGTCTTTTCTCCAATAGGCAAAAAATTTATCATCACAGTAATGATTTGAGTTATTCCTTTTCTATGGCTTATCAACTCTTTTGCAGGTTATTTAAAGCCAGAAAATATTTTGAGAGTGTAAGAATGTTTTAGATTGTAAGAATGTTTTTATTTGAATAATAATGATTTAGTGATAAAAGTCTTACTAATTAACCCATAGCTGGTGAGAAGAGTGGATTCATGTCTTTCCCAGGGGTATTTTCACATAAGTGAATATAATGAACCCAACAGGAATTGGAACTTGACCTGCACATCCAAGCTACAGCACCTGTTATTCTCAAGTGGTCACCCATCTAGGTACTAACCAGGCTTGATATTGCTTAACTACAGTGATCGTACAGGAGCCAGTGTTTCAACATAATGTGGCCATAAGCCTTATCACCACATTTTATGCGATAAAAAGCAACAATGATAAAATGGTGTCAAACTAGTAATTAAAATAGTGATATTGGTAATGATGGTTCTCCACAGTTACCAATCTTTGCTGCTCTCAGAAATATTTTCTCCCTTTACAACCCTTCTTTCTCTTTGTGGCACTTGTTTCTCTAACCACTTACACAAACTTATCAAGTAGGTTACTCACTGCTTTCCTTAGCATTTTTGCCTTTGATAAGCCATCTGAGTGTTATATTCTCTAAGCTTTCTTTCTTCCATATATGTCCCAAAAATATCAGCTGTTTCTTTTTTATTGTTATCAACAGTTTCTTTATAGTTTCTACTCTCCTTAAAACTTCCTCATTTGTCACATGTTCTGTCCATAGTATTCTCATAATTTGTTGGTAAAACCCCATTTTAGTTGTTTCAAGTCTTTTTATATTTATGGGAAAATTGTTGAGTTTCCACTGCCTATATAGGAAGACAGACATCACAAAGATATCCACAAAAAGATACATGATAGAAATTAACAACAAATAATATTTTCTCTTGAATTTTCAGACATTTCCATAGAATCCATGGAAATTCTACAGTGTTTCATTAGAATTTACACAAGGAATATGAAATGATTTAGATATTAAAAAAATTATTCACGTCTATTATGGATTCTATCAGGTTGAGATAATACTCCAGTGTTCCAACCAATTGAGATCGGAATTAATTGCACTAATTTGAAACTGGAATTTGTTTATTAGAACTAGAAAAAATAAATTCATCAAATGACAAAATGAGTTCTGTAAAACATTCAAGAAACTATAAAGGCCAAGTTAGGAAAAAAATAAAGACAAAATGAAAGAAAAAAGCCAAAAGATTCTTTCTGTAGCTTGTTCAGAAACCATATTATGTCACTTTGACATGAACTTAAATGTGCAAGATGCCTGGAGTCTATATCTTCAATCTTAGACTTTTGAGATAAGAAAACAGATATTTAATTCCCTTGTGTATAAACGAAATCTAGAAGTGTGTATACACACACACATATATATAAATACACACACACACATATATATATATATATATATATATATATATATATATATTGATAGATAGATAGCTACTTCTTTTGGTCTCTAAGGGTTTTGCAAAGTTTTCTGTGTTGAAAAAATTTGAAAGGTTTATTGGCAAGTATTTTTGTTTTACTGAGATTTGTAATATGAAAGACAGAAAAATGGTTTAAATGCTGGCAACAAATAAAAAAAAATGTTACCTAATCTTATACAGCTAAAGGCATACAGGTCATAGTAGTCTGGTTGACTATTAGTAGCAAGTTTGATTCTCACTGGGCACCTTAAACAAAATTTGTCATCAGTTCTTATCCTCTTTATACTGACCTGACACCTTTTCCTCCATATATTATAACCATTTTGCTTAAAGGTTATATTTTCTTGATTTCAGATGAAAACTTGCAAAGTTTCCAACATATTTCAGTGAAATTCTCACTTTCCAAAGTTACAGTTCATTATAGTTTAGATAAAAAAAAAAACCATGACATAGTTTAAACTGATGACAAAGGGCTCTGGGTTACAAGGATTGACTTGTTAAAAAAAACAACCAACATAACCTAAGAAGGTCACAGTGTTAATATCAAATTCATTTAATATAAATCTCTGTATTAAAAATTCATAGAATATCATTGCATATAAATTAATTATAGTTAAGATAAATTATAAAAGCCAATTGTTAATGTTCTGAATAACTGTAAAAATAAAAAACAATAAATCTTTAGAGGAGAAAAAAACATTTGTATTTCAGCCCCAATTCCCACATGACAAGAATGAGCCACACCCTATTCAGTGATTATTATCATTATTATTATATATGTATTCATATATAAATTTATAGCAAATATATAAGACAATTGGGAAAAAAACCTTTGTTTTGATATGTTTCACCAATCAAATATTTTCAGAAAAGCAGATCTTATTTCAGCTAAATCCACATGAGACAAAAATGTGGATTTAGTAAAAATGAAATCTATTTTTTATATGACATTGTGTGACTAACAAAACTTTTTATTTAAGATTGTGTTATATATTTGCTGTTCAATCAGATTCTCATTTAAATACATGTGTATAGGTATAAATAACTATAGGATTTAGAATTTGATATATTTATTGTGTAAGAGTACTCAATATAGAGGTATAAAGCATCTGTGGATATAGATAGGGTAGGTATAGAAATCAACACTGTATATTGATTGTGTGTTTCACACCTCAAACAATCTTCAGTTCTTGGGGCATATTGACAATATCCATATCCACAAATGCTCTATCTTTAATATTAACCAATCTCCACCTATAAAAAAAATTTAAACAATATATATAGAGAATTATTCTCCTCTATGGTGCAGTCTTCCTCGGAAGAGGTGTCAGCTGAGTGCCAAACCACTTTTGAAGGTTGTCGTGATGTACCACAGATCTTTTGTATTTTTTCCAATAATCACTTCACATAGGGTAGGCAGACCAAAGCTGTTTTCTGAGTGTTGTTATCCTCTTGTACCCTTCTATCCCAGTTTGTTAGAGCTGCTGCCATGTACCCAGAGTAGTTGTTAAATAGTAGGTTACTGCTTATACTGACCATTTCTTAATCATATGTTTCTGGGTCAACACTTATGATTTTGCTCATTGTTGTAAGCAGCAGACAATCCCTTTCTTTATGTTGTATGGGTGGTGGGAGTTGAAGTTGAGGTATTGTTTGATGAATGTTGGCTTGTGGTATATGGATGTTCTTGAAGCCTTACCATAAGCGGGTGGCCAGTCTCCACTTTATATTTATTTCCACAGCTGCACGGGATGACATACACACAGTCTTTAGTCTTGTTTTCATCTATGAGGTCTTACTCGGGAGAGGTATCTGCGAAGTGTCGTCAAGCTTTTGAAGGTTGTCCTGATATTATATGGACTACAGATCCTTTGTATTTTCTCTGATAACCCCTTCACATAAGGCAGGCAGACTGTATTCTGAGTGTTGTTGTCCTCCTCTTGTACCCGCTTATCCCAGTTTATTGGGGCTGCTGCCATGTACCCAGGGTAGTTGTTATGTTGTAGGGTACTGCTTATATTGACCAATTATTTATCTAATGTCTCTGGGTCACCACTTATGACTTTTGCTTGTTATTGTAAGCAGCAGACGATCCCTTTCTTTACACTGTATGGATGGTGGGAGTTGAAATTGAAGTACTGTCCGGTGAATGTTGGTTTGCAGTATACAGATGTCTTTAACCCATGCTCTGTTTGAGATATTAGAACATCCAGAAATGGGAGTGTATTTTTACTCTCTTTCTCCATTGTGAACTGTATCAAAGGCCTTACTGAGTTCACATGGTCCAGTAGAACCTGGACATCTTCCTGGTGTGGCCAGAGTATGAAGGTGTCATCTACGTATCTTAATCATGGAGTTCGCCTTAGAGATATAGATTCTAATGCCATTTCCTCAAAGTATTCCATGTACACTACATGCCAAATTATTATTGAGATAACTTTTTTCTAATATTTCAAAAACCGTCCAATCAATTCACACAAAATTTTCACACAATGTTGGCAACACTGACCTGCGCAATCACTGAAATTTTCTTACTTATCTGCGCAATGTAAACAAACTATCGCCATATTTATTATCAACACGGTGATTTGAGTGTGCTAAATTATTAGATAGGTTTAGTAAAATTCCCAGAATTGAGCAAACAAAACGTTTATTAATGTTGTACGTGAATGTTTATGATCAAAAGAAGCTAATAAATAAGATAATCAAACAAATAATAACAGATACAAACAAAGGCACAGTTTTAAACAAATTAATAGGGAATGTGCTTTCCCTGTTTTGAAATTACTTGAAGTCGACGATCCATAGAATTTGTTAATTGTAGGATGTCATCTGCTGTAATGCTGCGAGATATGTCAAGAATTGCTTCCCACAACTCAGCGTTGCTCCTGAATTGTCGTCCGTTGGTGTACAGTCTTTGCTTCATGATGCTCCAAATGTATTCGATTGGGTTCAAATCCGGAGAATTTGCTGGCCACTTCATTTTTCGAGGTCCATCAAAGCCTAACTGTTTCAAATATTCAGTAGTCTTGTGAGCAGCATGTGAGGGAGCATTATCTTGCATAAAAACAATGGCCCTTCTGAAGGCAACTCTTTGCCTTTTCATCCATGGTTCAAGATGCTCCTTCATAAACGCTATGTATGCATCAGCAGTCATTTTGACACCATCTGGTACTCTCCATGGACCCACTAATGTTTTTCCAATAATACCAACCCAGATCATTATGCCTCCACTGCCTTATTGGCGTCTCAAATGATGATGGCGATTCTGTCCGTTCATTACCCAGCCTTTGCACCATCTATCTGGCCCATCAAGTGTTGCTCAAGTTTTGTCTGCAAACAAAACTTTAGAGAAGTCAATCTTCATATTGTCCTCGGCCCATTTCAATTGATTTTGAATGTGATTTCTTGTCAACAGAGGCTTCGATACAGGTTTGACTGTTGTTGCTATTTCCCTCAGATACGGACACCGAGTACTTTTAGACACAGTAGGATCCCCAGCTCATGACTGGTAAGTCCAGGGTTCTTCGTGGACTCTCCTTTAAGTTGTGACATGAGACGATGTGAAATAACCCTCGGCTTGCCTTTATCTGCCCTTTTGCATACTTGTATAGGGTCGGCGGTGAACTTTTTCACTGTTTGATGACACCTCCCTATCATTTTAGAAATTTCTAGCATATATTTACCTTTTGAGAGTTCTGAGGTGATAGTTTTCTTTTCAGCATCACTTTTATGGCCCATCTTTTTGCTAAATTCTTACACTTTTCTAATAATTTGGCATGCTCAAATTACCACACTGATAACAAATATGGCGCCAGTTTGTTTACATTGCGCAGATCAGTATGACATTTTCATTGATTGCGGAGGACAGTATTGCCAACACTGTGTGAAAAC